TATCTGCTCACAATACAATAAAGCTTTATGTAAAGAGGTAATTATAGCAATTATACCATGATGGAGGAACAGTTTGATCCTTTCTGTAAGTTACACAAGCATATCTGAGCCATGGGTAAATTTCTCATTTCTTCAGCATATCCTTTCTCTAGTAGTCCAGACAGAAAAATTAAAAGCTAAGAGAAATAAGGGGGACAGGAGAGGAATAAGGAATAGTAAATACTATCCACTTGAAGAGAATCTGTTCTTCAAATGAAATGCATCTCTGAATTGTTGGACTTTTCACAAGAACTGCAGATATTGTTCTGGCAATAACCACCACTGGATGATTTTCTTAGTAGTGGGTACAATAATGTCTACTTGAGAGTAGTGATCTGTTACCAGATTGGATATGTCAACAGAATACAAATTGACAAAAGTGTACTAAGTACATACTTTATTTATGTATTTAAGGTTTATGCCAAACCTTGTAAATGATGACATGCTCTTTCTGTACAATTCTTGCTTATTGGAAGGAATGATTTCCCTCTGGGTTTTTCTTGATTATATGTACACTCTTTCAATGCCTGGTTGTATCTACTATAGAGATTTTGGTGGAAAATTGAAAAAACAATACATGTTTTTTGTGTTGTTTCTTCTAATGAATATATATGCAATTTTCTCACTCAGATAAATGTTACTTACCTCTATGAAAAAATATTTTAAATATTTAATGGTATAATCCTAAACAAAACCCAGTATCCTTTAGTGTTATATGTAATCATGCACCCCTTAACAATGGGAATATGTTCTGAGAAATATGTCATTGGGTCGTTTTGTCACTGTATGAACATCATAGAGTGAACTTACAAAACCTAGATGGTGTAGCCTAGTACTGTAATTATGCATGCTATACCTTTAACTGATTGGCAGTACAGTAGGTTTGTTTACACCAGCATCTCCACCAACACATGAGTAATTGTAGGGCAAGCCCTCAAAGTAGGCTCTTCTTTTTCTAATGCAAGTGCTTGACTTAAGCTTTGATTGCCCAAGCGTCCACTTCAAAGCTGGGTATCTCTCAAATGAACACATTGCCAGACACAGGACTAGACAGAGTCAGGACAGGTCCCCCACTGAGGCTCTTTTGTTTTAAAGATGTTGGTTGATTTCAAAAACTGACCATTTGGGCTACTTGCTTTTTGTTTGCTTGTTTGTCTTTGTTTTTGTTGTTTTCCTTTGCCTGTGCTTAGAATTTTTTCTCTTATGTTTCTAATTCACCAATAAAAAGTGAGCCCCCCAAACACTAGCCTCCCTCACCCCAATAAAAGCAGAACCCTAGACCCCTGCACATGGATGCTCTCCCTTTACCTGTGGCCTTGCTGTGTGACCCTTGGCATGCCTCGTATGTTCTACAACTTGTAAGTAATAAACTCTTTTTTCTTCAGTTTCCTGATCATTATTGGTGAAGGGTGTCTTGCAATAGTAATAAATGCCCAAGGATCTGTCCACTGGCAATATTGTTTCCTTAAGGGGCTATGTCTGTGGAAGCTCCTTGGGCCCACGTGAGTACCCTCACACTTTTCTAGCCCATGGAATTACTGTTGATAGAATGAGAAGGCACAAAACAGTAATGCTTTGTACTATGACACTGTATCAACTACATCACTAGGCCATATCACTGTAATCTTATGGGACCACTATCTTACACGCAATCTGTTGTTGACTGTAACATTCTGTAGTGCATGACTCTATTACTAATGTTAAAAATTCTCATAATTTAAAGATCACAATCTATGTGGGAGGTAATCTTAGAAATCATATTTGAGAATTCATTCTCTTCAACTTTAAACCTAAGTTTTCTGAAAAACTCATAAATGGTAGCATAAGAAGAAACACTTTCTTGAAATTATTGCAGTTGCTGGTATTATAGGACAAGACAGAAGTTCAGTCCTAATAGGTTTTCAAGACAATACACTTCTCCCGATTTTCCATAAACTTATTGAAGCTTTTAAGGAGAGTTTTTTTTAATTTTATTTTATTGTCACTAGTTCTATGAATTTATTAACTAATTTACTGATTTATAATGTTAAAAATAGTACAAGTTATGGTAACTATGTAGTCAAACAGGAGTGAATGGATTTAAATAAGTATCTTTAGTCTCACTTAACTTCACTTCCAGAATCATTCTCCTGAGATAGTTACAGTTTTCTATTCTCGTTTTTTTTATTTTTCTGATAACTACCGATGTATTTCCAAATAACACTCTTGTTTCTTTTTATTTCTTCAGTTCTAATCATGTAATATATGAAACATGAGAGATTTAATTACCACTTCTCCCTCCCTCTTGGTTTTGTTTGCTGTGTTATTTTTAGTTTTAATGTTTATATAACTTTAAATAATATGATTAAATTCCATTGTTCATTCCAACACCTTTAGATAGAAGAGAAAGATGATTTAAAGCTACATGACTAAAACTAACACTGCTTATAAGTTGGTCACAGAGCAGTGCCACAGAAATAACAGTGAAGGTGATTGGCAAGGATGTCCTCTGCATGGCCTGTGCACAATTAGCATTCTAACAGAAGAGCTCAGATTCAATATTTTAAAATTCTATGTAAGTAATTAAGTTATTTTAAAAAGCTAACTTCCATTTAGGAACCCTTGTTATATTTTCCTACCATGGAAGATAGGATGGGATTGCAGGCAATCCTGAGATTTATGAATTACTCTCAAGGTCTGAGTATAGCCACACTTTGGAAAAAGCCACCACAGATTTGATGAGTTGAACCAGTCAGCTGTAAGCTGACTTTGGCTGATACAATCAGATTCTTTTGAGAAATTACTAAAAAGAGCTGATCAGTTCTTAACTCCTACATTCAAACACATGTACTTCGGAGAGCCTCAGATTTGTTCAATTTACAGAGAAATAGAGGCATTACACAGGAGTCAACTGACCATTGGGAAGGTGCATGTGTGTTTGGGGTAGGGATAGGAAGGTGGGAAGGATAGGGAGAGAAGGTGGGGGGTAGAGGAGAGAGTGAAATGGAGAGGAAGAAGGGCAGAACAGGTAGTAGGGGAAAGAGTTTAGGAAGACATTGTGTTATGTGAGAAGAACAGTAGTTATCTGGATTTAATGGAGTGATTTTGATATTGATTTGACATTATCATAGCTCCAAATCCACATTTAAATAAATGAATAGAACATTATAAAGTTATCCTTGCCTGGAGCTCTTTATTTTTAGGATAATACTGATAGCATTTAGACAACTGAGAGGCCGTTAGAGATTATGAACTCAACAAAGCCACTAAAATGTATATGAGCACCAAAGTATTTGTCAGTTATGATCTCTAATTATTCTAACTTCATAATTTAATGTAACTTAGTCATACATTTATAGTTTTATATATATATATATATATATATATATATATATATACACACACACAAAGCTATACAATTAAGTTCATGAACCTTCCACCATATAAGTGCACAGTGGAAAGTTCATGAACTTAGTTGTCTGACTTTTTCATATGTATATCATAATGATAATATAACTTAATAACATAATTTAATCAAAATTAAATATTGTAAAAAAGTGGTTTAATGTTGGTACTCGTTTTTTTTTTTTAGCTGAGCCATCTTGCCACCTGTTGGCAGCTCCGCAGCAACTCAGCTCAAGCTGGAAATATAACCACTGTTGCTCAGAGCTTGCATTGCACTCTTGAGCAAGCTCTTAACCAACTGAGCCACTCGGCTGGCCCAATTGTCACTCTTTTTTTAAAGCATGCCAGCATTATATATTTCTGCGGCAATTAGAAACTACTGATTTTATATGTGTATATGACATGTTTCCAGGTTCTATTATTTGAGAAAAAAAATGAAAAAAACTGCAATAATCCCTTAGGATGTGAAATTGTCAGATATTGAGATCGACTTTATTTCCCTTTAGAATTACTACTTCGATATTTGTACTAAGGGTTGCAAAACTTAACAGCAGTATTGCCCAGACTATGTTCTAAGGGTGTAAGTTTAAGGAAATGTTAATGTGTGGTTCTAGAAAATGTGCTAATATTACCTATTTCTTAGATAATCATTATGTACATTAGCACACAAGTCTCTGAAAAGACCTACAGTTACAGAGCTTTTTAAAATTTTATTGTATACCATGTTTCCCAAGCCTATCTGTGCAGAGTTCACATTGTTTTCAGCATATCTATTATAATCTAGCACCTGGTTTAACAAACTATGTCCCATTCACCACTGTTTTTGTAAATAAAGTTATTGCAACAGAGTCATGCTCACTTGTGGCTTTCCCGTTACAGTGGCAGAGCTGAGTACCTGCAACAGAGATGCCTGACAAAGCTTAAACATATTTATTATCTGGTCCTTCATAGAAAACTGTTTGCCAATCTTGACAGCAGAGTAGAATACTACTGGACATCAAATTGGGAAACAGTGACTTACAGAAATGTGTTAAAACTTTAAACAGAATCTTTTTGCAGATAATTATAAATTAAATGTGCATATTTGCATGAAACATAATTAATTTTAACTCTATAAATTTTGCAGTGATGGAAATTAAAACATCAATTTTTGATGCATTTATTTAAATATAATTAATTTAAGAGAAATGTTAAAACATGATTTAGGAAGAAAATAATATAAATATTCTTACAAATAGTGTTTAAAGCCAAAGATAAAAACTATACTGACAGCCTTACATTTGATAAAATTAACTAGAGAAAAAAAGATTTATCGCTGCCTTTCTTCCTTGCTTTCCTTTTAGGAGAAATTTCTGTATAAAGTCCTAGGCATGTAATTACTATGTCTGTTTATTTTGACTTGGAGGACAACTTGTTCCCTCTTCAGATTCAAAATTACTACCCTAATATATTGTAGAAACCTAAGTTTAACTGCTGCCTCAGTTGTTAAGTAGCTGTCCAAGCTGTAATATCTGAGTGTCAATTTTTCATCAGGTATTAGTAATGAAGCTGAACTACACTCTGAATTTTTTTTCCAGGAAGAACTGAACCCCATCATTGTTACCCCACCAATCGAAGCCATTGATCAGGACCGGAATATTCAGCCACCATCAGATAGACCGGGCATCCTCTATTCCATCCTTGTTGGTTTGTATCTGCTAACATTTTACATTCTCAGTTATCATTCTAAAATAATGTAAAAAACAAAAAACAAACAAAAAAAACTTGTCTTAAAGCAGAGTAAACACCTTTAATAACAAATATTTTTTGAAATGATTGTTATTTTTAAGTATAATTGAATTTAAAAATAACTTTTTGTCTCAGAATTAGTTTCAGTAGAATGTGTAAAACAGCAAATAGAAAAACTTGTATTGAAGAAGCAAAACAACTTTGAAAAATAGGAAATTAATCTACCTATTGGTAGTTTTCTCATCATGTTATAAAGAATGCTCTAAGAAAAAAAATGAAAACTCAATTGAAAACTTAGACAGTTTGCGCTTCGAGTATTTTATCATTGGTGGGTACAATTACGTAATTCTGAAAATATATGACTTAATTAAATAAGGGCATTTAGAGCCATATGGGAAAAAGAGAAAGATCATAATTAGCCCAAGGGCACATAATACATTATACCCTTGGCTAATTTTTCTTTCAAAAATTGCACAGAAGCTGTCTTAATCCATCCTTGTGTATGTACTGCTAATTACACCAAAAGCAAAAATGATGAGAATTTGATTATGCTACCCAAATTGCTTTTTCCCCCCTCAAATTGCTTTTGCTAAAATATGGATGTTGCTGTTTTACAAGGTTTTTAGTCTCTAGAGAGACAGATGCATGTGAGACAGAATATACATTTCTTAATGGAGTTCTTTTTGAAGTGTGCTTGAAAATAACTATTTAGTGGAATTCAACATTTCCTTCAACCCCTTCCTATACCCATGCCTCCAACCTGTGTGTATACACACATTGTAACAACACAATAGCTTATAGACAATAGACAGATTAAAAATATGATACTATAGTCGACTAGAGATGCTATCTGTAAAGAAAATTCAAGTAATTCTGTTTCAAGCCACTGGTCTCTAGAACTACACATATATCATCAACCAGTTGCTGCGATTAGACTATTAATTATTTAAAAAACCCTGTGAACCTAAGCATAAGGGTCTTTTAAGTCTATAGGGGCCTTCACATAGATACAAGGAAATAGGCATTTTTCATTTAATTAACTGAAGGCTTCATTGTATGTCAATCACTGTTAGATGCTGTAGATACAAATATGGAGATAAATGTTCTATGTTAGAGAGGGATAGAATCCATGGCAAGAAACATGTCAAAAAATAAATCAAAACACATAGTTCTAAACATTGTAAATTAAGTATGAGCCGCATATCATGAGGGTTCTTGGGAGGACAGTGCTTGGATTTCTAAGAGAGGTGCTTAGGAAGAGTTATTTTAGCAGAAAGACTACAATTTCCAGATAGAAAATGGGAGAGAAACGACCCAGACCATGATGCAGCATGTGCAAAGTCCCATGAGTGAAATTTAAAGATAGTCTTGCGGAGGCATGAAACTCAGAGTGGGCTGGTATCAACTGACACTCATAAATTTCTTTCACTTTTAAAAATTACATTTATTCCTTCTTTCAATAAACAAATAACTACTCTATGGAGCAAAACAGATTCCTCACTTTGTAGAGTTCGTTTTCTGGCAGCAGAGACAGGTGATAAAAAAAGTAATACAATTAATTAATTAATTAATTAATTAATGTGTTACAAAACATCGATGGTGGTCACGCTATGAAAAAAAAATAGCCTGGATGAGTGGGAATGGGAATACAGAGGTGTTGCAATATAAGTTGCAGCATTAAATATAATGCTCAGGATATGCCTCGTTGAAAAGGCGAAGTCTGAGCTAAGTCTTGCAGAATTAAAGTAGTTTGCCATGCTGATCTCTGAGGTGAGGGTTTCTGGGCAGAGATAAAAGCTGGAGCGTGCCATGTGGGTTTGAGTAACACCGAGGAGGCCAGTCGCACTGGAAAAGGAGTGAGGGGGAAGTAGAAAAAGGGCTTGAGAAATCAGAGCGGCCAGAAAACACGGAGTCTTGTATATGATTATTCTACTTCGCTTTTTACTCTGAGTGAAATGAGGATCCCTTACAGGAATCAGAGCAGAAAATTGACATAATGACGTTAAGTTTCATCAGCCTCTGACTATAGAATGGTGGGTAGTCCTAAAGAATAGATACAACCTCTAACACTAACTTTGCTTTCACAGGTATGTTAAATAAAATTATATCCTTTCATAGGATTTATATTTCTAGAAGGCAGGGCATTGTTGGGGTTGAGGACATAGCTTCTGGATTTGTACTATCCATGTTCAAATCCTGACTGTAACACTTGCCAGTCATATAACGTTCGGCAAGTTACTAACCTCTCTGTCTCAGATTGTTTCTCTTTAAAATAGATTTGATCAAAATTAATCTTTCTATAAAAGGGTTTTGAGGATTTAATCTAATAATGTGTGTAATAGTGTCCAGAAAAAAGTTAATGCTCAAATAATGTTAGTTGATGTTTTAATTACCATGAAAAATAAAGCATGTTTCTTAAGTCATACTATACTAGTAAAAATAGAAGTGTGTGTGTGTATGTACACACACACACACACAAACACACACACACACAGCTTATAATTGCATCCTTTTCCACATTATGCCCTTTCAAACACCATGTAACCTTGCACATAGTCTATTAGGAGCTTTTCCTCATGACTTTCTATTCTCCAGTATTTTGGTTTTAATTTTAAATAAACTCCACCAAACTGCAAGTTGTTTCCTTCTTTTCCTTTTTGGATTTTTTTGGGTTTACTCTTTTACCAGGAACGTATTGCTAACTAATAAGGTGGAGTATTGTGGATTATTATTATTATTATTATCCTTTAGGCATGAGAGAAGTTTGATTCTATGGCCCACATTATTGGGAAATGTTTCTTTCATTGTACAGGTCATATTTACTGAATATCAACATTGTTCATATTTTTATGGCTTTTCCTCAAAATTGTTCCAGAATATTATTCATTACCAAACACATTGAACTCCTTTTCTTTTCCCTCATAAGGATCACATAGTGCAGAATGGTAAGCCACAAAAACTGGAACTCGCAAAAGTAGATTTCCCTAAAAATGAGAGTATACACTGAATTCAAAGATTAATATGTTATCTATAGTAATATAGAATAAGTTATCTATAGAGATTGATAGAGTATATATTACTAAAGGCATAAGCTGAAATGCTTTTACAAAGAGCCTCCAAAACACAGTGATTTAAATCACATACACTAGAAACGGTTTCTTTCTCAAGTAACAGCCCAAAAGTTTATGGGCCTGGGTTTGTGGGAAAGATTTACCACACCGACACTTGATTTGCTCTGTTGCTCCAGTCAGTGTCACAGCCAGTGGGAAAAAAATGAAGTCGAGGGCAAGTACCTTCGTGGAAATGAACCAATATATTTTTTTAAACCTGAAAACAATGGAAGTTGGAGAAACTTAAGGGAAGCTATAGAGACAGTAGGTAGTGTTTTAGTGATCTGTTGCTGTACAATAAACCACTCAAAAGCAAAAGATTGGTGACCTGAAATGGCTACAGTTTATTATCTCTCATGTTCCTATGGGTTTCTTGGGATCAACTGAGCAGTTCTGCTTTATTTACATGGTGTAGTTGAGGTTATGCAAATGTTTGCATTCAGCTGGGGACTTGCCAGGGATAGACATCCAAGATGGTCACATGGCCCTTCTCTCCAATTGCCCTAGCCTTGTTCAGTAGTCTTCTCAACAGCATTTGTTGTTGGCTTCCATAAAGGTAAAAATGAAAGTTACCAGTCTTAAAACTTGGTCTTGAAACTGGAACCACATCATTTCCACTATCAACTATTGGTCAAAGCAAGCACAAGTCTAGCTCAGATTCAAGGAGAGGGAAAACAGATGGCTTCTTAATGGGAAGCAAAAATCTGTAGCCATTTCTGATCTACTTCAGGTAATTATGTTAGCTTAAGATAGTTACATTTTAGATTAAAGACATAACTTTTTGATCCTTCATCCCATGACTTAAAAATAAGTTTGAGTAAACACTCTAATACTTAAAAATTATACATGCATTAGTGTTGTTAAAATTTCAATGCTCAATAATTGCATAGAGCATTGATTATTATTTATTGAATACAAATCCACATGTCAAATAATTCTATTGTCTTACATTTTTCAGTATGACTTTATTTCAGGCCTGCTTGAATCTTCATTATTTGACCTAGTAACATGACTTATTAAGCCCTTGTACTAGGAGGGTGGGAAGTTAGTGCCCCGCCATTTTCTTGGTGTTCATTTTTGCATGCATCATCAGGGTTATCTTTAATCTCAGGTTGATCTGAAGAAATATTTTCCATTAATTTACTGATTTTTTTTTTGTGAGTATTCATATGGGGAAAAGTGAATACTTCAAAATACAAGTCAATGTAACTGGCCGGATACAAAGCAAAATCCACTGCAATGCATTGAAAGCAAACAGGGGAGTGTGTATGTGTCAACCCTGCCACACTGTATTATTGCCATGCCTCCCACAAGATTCCTTGCCAGTGTCCCTACAAAAATACCAATAGCAGCCAAGTGTCAGTCTAAATATTAATATTTATTAAGCTTCTTTTTTGTATTATTTTTGGAAGAACTAAATATAAAACTAAAGTTTTAATGGGGTGGTAGTTACATGGGTCTATACAATTGCTCAAAAACATTGGAGCTTATCTGTACATTTTATTGTATGCAAATTGTGCCACTAAATATTAAATAGACGTTTGATGTTATTTTCCTGTATCCCACTTTGGGGATGACTGCAGTAAACAATAGGTAAAATTGTGTCTAGGTAATTGAGAGATTAAAATGGAACTTTAGAAATGTACTCCAGTGATTATAAGTGAAAGGCATGTCAGAACATTTAGGAGGTTATCACAGTGGTGCAAGCATTAAAGAACAAGGCTCTGAATAAGAGAGTATGCCTATACAAAAGAGACACGTAGGAGCGAGTAGCAATGATGTGGGCAAGGATGAATCACGTGGACAATGTATGGAGAATTCTTTGATAGGTATTTAGGGATTTTTCCT